CATTTCGTCTATGTTGTAGTGTTTGGCCTTTGTGTCTGCTGGTTGTGGGGTTGGGTGGTTGTGGGTTGGTTGTGTGGGGGGGGGGGGGGGGGTGGGGGGGGGCATACCTGCTTCATCTTGGCCAGCTCTCTCCGTGTGTGCTCATCATTCCTCAGGTCCTTCTTATTCCCTACAAGGATGATGGGAACATTGGGACAGAAGTGTTTCACCTCAGGCGTCCATTTTTCAGGAATATTTGCTGTTCCGGAAGAGAAAAGAAAAGAAGTTGAAATACTCGAGAAAAGGCAGGAAATACTGAAAAAGGACCAGCTGTGCAGAGTCATGGTGCAAAACATTCTTATGACAAACTGGTCTACAGACTACTGGAGGCAACAATGATTTTAGCTGCTCCCAAGACATCCACTATGGCAGGACAGTTCGACACACACCTTGTGGTTATGGAACCAGACTCAACAATGTGCAAGATGAGCTCTGACATTGTCCTGCTGAAACAAACTTTGGACTTCCTGCCAAAAGACGTCACTTGGATGGTAATTTAAGGATCCAAGTTATTCTCCGTTAATGATACATTCATAGATATATTCGTGATGGGTTGCTATAACATGTTTGTAACAGTATTAGATTCAGTTTCTGTTTGCAGCAGCTGACTAGAACAACATTGATTTTCCAATTTAACTCCAGATTCAGTGAGTCAGTACTGATCAAGATGGACAGAGAACGTCTCAACCCTTTGGCCTTGAAGCTCTTAGATATATTCTCAGACTTCTTACAGTTTTCTATAGTAATACACTGTAGATGTTAAAATACCTGAATTCTTTGCAATTTGGGATTAAAATTAAATTGGTCAATTATCTGACTTTAAATCTATTTTTGCATCTTTTCAGAGCCAAAGCACAAAATGCTTTAAAACCCACCCCAAAATAAACCATGGACTGATTGGGAGGTGTGGTCTATGTCTGCCCTGCTGCATCTCAAGTGATGTGGAGGCATAAAAAAAGGCTGAATCTGACTTCCACAGATCCATCAAGCCAGAAACTGGAGGAACGCTATGACATCACAGACTCATGACATGTGGCAGGGTATCCCAACACGTTACAGAAGACCAGCAGAGGATTTTTGAGACCAGACAAGGAGCCATACAGATATCAGGTGGCAGAGCTGGTGTCAAGAGAACAATCTCTCCTTAAACATCACAATGACCAAGGAGATGATCATAGAAAGAAGGAGCAATATGTCCCCCTTGACATTGGAGGGACCCTGAGTGTGAAAACTATCAAGTTCCTTGGCACTGCCACCAGTGAGGATCTCACTGGGTCTGAACTAGCTGCAGCTCCAGAAGAAGGCACAGCAGAAACCAAACTTTCTGAAGAAGCTGAGGACATTTAGGACGTCACCCAAGGTTCTGAGCAATCTCTACAAAAGTTCAGTTGAGAGCATCATCACTAGTGCCACCATGGTACCGTTCAGGACAGGGAGGCTCTACAGCGGAGGATTAAAACTGCTCAGTTCATTGTGGAGTAGCCGTCCTCTTACTGAGCAACATTCACATCAGCAGGGTGCTCAAAAGGCACAACACGTGCACAATCACAGATAGCCAGACTCTCAAAGACTCTTAATCCACAAGTCATACGCATCATAAACTACATGCATATTTATTCACCATCCACCACACACTGCTACACTTCCAGAGCGCCTTGTAAACTAGAATGTGTGGAGCGATTTTATACTTTATTTCTGCACAAGGCGCAGATTGTTCGTCTCACTCAGGTCATTGTTGCTTTTTGTTGATGTCTTTTTTAACTGCCCTCTTGTTGCTTTTTAATATGTGTTGCTGTGTTAGAAGAAGTGCAAAGTAAGAATTTCACTGCATGTTGTAAACACTTATTTCTGTGCACATGGCATTAGTAAATGAATCTGAACCTGATGCCTACAACAAATAGTTGCTGATTGTAACATGTTCTTCAGGTGTTACTTGAATTTTCTAAAACCTTTTTTAGCTTTCCAACAAAGTTCAGTCAGGCCATCTGGACGGTTTCTTTTTTGTTGTTGTTGTAGTTGAGATGTTTCATCCTTCTTCTAAAGGACTTCATCAGGCCAAGGAGCCCCAACAAACTGAGTCTCACAAGCAGCACACTCACATAGTGGACCAACCAGTTTGCTGGTGATAAGATGGTTTCTGGGGCTCGCGCTCTCCCAGTCGACTCATCTGAGGCAGCCCTTTGGGTTGAAGTCCTTTGGATGAAGGACAAAAGGTCTCAACCAAAAAAATAAAAATAAAGAAGGATCTTTGTTGGATTTTCTAATTGGATTATTGAGCATACATTTAGATGTTTTGAACCACTTTGGCATGCCTGTCTCAGAGGAGCAGACGGGGGAGAGGGCGGGCCCCAGAAACCATCTTATCACCAGAAAAATGGTTGGTCCACTATGAGTATGCTGGTTGTAGGACTTTGATTGATGAAGTCCTTTGGATGAAAGATGAAATGTCTCAACAAAAATAAAGAAACCAGCTGGATGACCTGACTGAACTTTACTGGATGTTCTACCTGGATTATTGAGCATGAACTTTGATCTTTTTTTAGCTTTATTTATTTTTTTCTTCAAATTGTGACCACGTGCGCTGTTGGCATAAAATATGTTTACTTCTTCTAAAAAAATTTGACTATTTACTCTGCGATAATATTTGCAATCATTTATTTTGGACGTGCGTTAAATTCGATAACAAATTACATAAGTGTATATGCTTTTATTTATTCGTCCTTTATCATGTTAGTAAACTTGAGTCTGCTACAAAGTTAAGACTCAAAGCAGTCTGCTGGCTCCTCAGATAAATAATGTTATTAACTTACTTTATAGATATATGAATGTTTCTGTTCAGTGCCCTGAGACGACTTCTGTTGTGACTTGGCGCTATATAAATAAACTAAATTGAATTTAAACTGACTAACTTTTCAGGAAATAAGGCTTATATGTAGTTTTTATTAATGTCTCAGTTCTGCTTGTTGATACATGTAGACGGACCTATTTTAAAGTTAAATGCAAATAAAAAATGTCCTCACCTAAGCTGTCTGGGCTGTCTACGGAAAAGCACATAAGGATGACATCTGTGTCGGGGTAGGAGAGGGGTCTCAATCTGTCATAGTCCTCTTGACCTGCAGTATCCCACAACGCCAGCTCCACCTGAAGAAAAAGAAGGAAACGCAAACTAAATGATTGTACTTTACATGAAGGCTGAGTTATTAGTTTTTTAAATAAAATAAAATTGATCATATCCCTGATACAAATGTGGTATAAAACATGATTTCCACATAAAGGCTAAAGATAAATAAACATAACCTTCTGACATTTTGACTTGTCACAACAGAAAGCTTAAAGATTTTTTTTTCCTCATGCATTGAGTGCTAGAAATATCAGTGATGACGCATGTGAACCATCTGAGAAAATTTCCCCAAGCCTTGTGCTTCAAATGTGAGTCAGCAAATAACATTAGCATTACTTCGAGCATATTTTCCTCATCTGATTACAATACCTTGCATCTTGATTGAAACTTGTGATGCATTCGTTTTACCCAAAAACAGATTTCATGTTTGTAGTAATTCAGTGGAGACATTTTCTTATCACAACAGCAGTCTGGTATGTTGCTAGTGTGACAAAAATAACCCAGAGACTCTCCCTACCAAATCACGCCGCTGACTCAGTTCAATTAGGGAAAGTGGGAGATTAGAGAGCATCTAACCAAATACCCTCTGCATTTTATAGAGATTAATAACCAAATGAGTTTACTTTTTTATCTGACTCGCTATGTTCAGTAAAAAATATATTTTTCTATGTTATAATACTGGAACTTTAAAAGTGCCTCCAAAGAGGACACGAATCAGAAAGTCCCAAAATAGGCGTTTGCAGAAGCCGAGAGTGGGAGGCGGTCGGTCTCTATACAGCTTGTAAGAGCACCGAGGTCATTTTGTTCCCACTGCAGGTGAAAGCAGCAGACGTTAAGGAGTAAAATATGAAAAAATATCCTCCTGCAAGTGTGAGAATGTCTTAAACTCAGGGGAAAGAAACTGAAAACAATCCAAATGACTGTATGAGAGAGTGATTCTTAACCACCCTTCATTATGAATTGATATTTTCTATCCAGATCACAGCAGTTTACCCTTCTTTACCCTTCCTGCATCTTAAAAGCTAACAGAACAAGGACAGGAAATGAGGGACTTATCAAGTAAGAGCAGGAGGAGGGTCCTGAGGGAGGGATGGGGGATTGCCAAGAGACATCATTGTTCCCTGTCTGAACAGGAAGCCAGGAAGTTGAGTCATTTCCTGTTTTGCCAAGTGGTGATCCAGCAGCAATGGTCAGATTAAGGGAACAAAGTCCCTCAACAAAATATGTCATCTCTTTGGTCCAGCTCCAAAGTGTACAGTACAGTCTGGAGAATGGCCAAATAATTATTTACCCCTCTTTCAACTTTAGATTTGTCCAAAAGCTCCTCTTTAAGCAGAAATCATTCAGTTGTGGAGCAGCAGCCATTAAAAGCACAAAGGTCATCAAATAAAGGTTATTTTGTAGCTGCATATTTAGCATGCCTGAGTACTTTGTTTCCCAGATAGCTACAGAAGCTAACCCCCAGTTAATTTATAAAACATTATAGGTAGCTAAAAACATCTAGTTAATGAAAATATCGTGCTCATTACTTTATAAGTACTATCTACTGCTTGCAAACTAATATCCTAGATGCTGATTATATGCAAGATAACTGAGGCAATCCAAGCGGCAGTCAAAAACAGTTCCTGGAATGATCCATTGAGATGGGTCCAAAAAGAAAAACAAAACCTAAACCACTATGGTAAAAGGTTCATTTTTACTGTTGAAAGTAACCTACTCACTCAAATTTGAAATAAATAAATACATATCTAATTTTGGTATAACTGATATACCCATATTTCAATGAGTGTGTAAGGGCAACTTAAAAAAAGTTGTAAAAACTGTTCATTGGATTTTTTTAAAAACTACATTGATTATCAATAAGTGGTTTTTATTTAATTAGTTTACTTTGTAAAGAGATTATAAAGCTGAGCTTCAGTCTTTTGTAATGTATCAGCTCTAACAAGTAAAACATTAACAATCCGTTATTTAACATTGACACCGAGTTCAGAGCAACAGCTTTTATCACACATGTAGGTAAAACAAGCTCTCAAACAAAAGGAGCAGTTTTGATGCGTTTAATGTTTCACTTAAAGCGAGATAAATATGGAATATGAGTTGCAGTTGTAGGTACAAGATAGTGAAAATATATGGGAATCACAAGTTCGACTACTTTATATGTGAAACATGTTCATTAGTTTTTCATGCTGTGAACAAGGCCAGGATAGTTCAGTAGGCTGGGCTATGTGATGAGATATTATGTTTATGGCTCTCGACTGCACAATTTGTTGCTTTTTGTCTTGTGGTAGCTGTGGCTGAGTGGTTAGCACAATCGTCCTCCAGTGGGACAGTTGGGGGTTCGATTCCACACACATGCTGAAGTGTCCATGGGCAAGACACTGAACCCCTCTTTGCCTTTGATGTGTGTCCCATCAGTGTGTGAATGTGATAAATCACCGATTAATCTTTGTATAGATCTAGTAGAGTGCTGTATGAATGGGTAAATGAGGGCACAGATTGTAGTGTAAAGCACTTTGAGTATCTTGATCAGATAGAAAGGTGCTATATAAGTACAGTCCATTTACCATTCGGCACTAAAATGTGGGAAAAATTGTGTTAATGTTTAAAGGTTAAACCAAAAACTTGAAATAGAAGGTGCAGAAGCGTTTCAATTGAGAAGATAAACTTACAACCATAGTTGTTTTTTCTCCCAACAGAAGTGTCAACTTAAGTAAATCACTTATGTGTATGTCAATGTTACAAACCTGTTTTCCATCAACCTCAATATCGGCGATGTAGTTCTCAAACACTGTTGGGACGTAGACCTCAGGAAACTGGTCTTTACTGAAGACAATGAGAAGACATGTTTTCCCACAAGCTCCATCCCCAACAATCACCAGCTTCTTTCGAATAGAACCCATTTCTGTTGGGACAAGAACAAGGTGTTGAGGAAAAATAAAAGAGATAAATATACTACTTCCTGGATTTTAGGAGTGGTGCGATTGTCTGCTTAAGCCAAACATTGCCTTTCATTGTCTTCTCTGTGGATCGTATACTAAAGGTGTCATAAAGACAGAAGAATGAACAAAGAACACAAAGTCATAAAACCAGTTTTCTCTGCTCTTGTTCTGCAAAGCATCCTCTCTGACTGATAGCACTGGATACTTACTCAAAAAGAAAGGTTGTCTGACAAGCACAGAGTCGTAACAAACTGCAGTCATAAACTTTGGTTCTGTAATGGCAACTCCAAATTACAGAAGTGCATAAAGAACAGAAGGAACAAGAGATGAGACCTGAATAAAGAATCAAAGATAGCAGGGTGTTGAAACAAGTGAGTTCATGAACAAAACTCCCATACATCTCCATCTCTGCTTAGTTTATTCCTTTCAGAAATATGTGGAAAGAAAAACATACAGGAAATTATAGCAAGTGGTGCAGAACACAGTGGTAACGTACAAAAACAGTTTTTTCTATGATCCCCTCAGAGATTTCCTAGATTCTTTACAGGAATATTTGGATTTAATGATGACATAATGATCAGAACTAATTTGAATTAAGGATTCAGAGCTGAATCTGTGAAGGCTTTACTGTGCCCTACAAAGTTGTTTGTCTACATGATATTACAAGTAATGAGTAGCTGAGTTTGTTGCTAAAACAACAATGCCATGCAAGAATTCCCTAATGTAAACACTAAATTTATTTTTGATAAATTATAGATTTAAAAATTAATGCATTTCTGTTTTATCCACAGAGCAGAGGTGTGGTGGGATAAGTTAGCAGATATGCTGATGAGGAGCTCGAGCCCCGCTGCCTCAAATCAATGGCCCATAGATCATTTGGCTCTTTACCTCGTCTATTTTCTGCCTAACAACCTTGTAAACCAACCCCATCCATCCGTCCGTCCGAGATAGACCGAAATGGAGTAGGGGCAGGGCAGCCGACTCGGGACCCGAAGGTCCTGGGTTCAATCCCCGGTCATTGCACATCTCATGGTGTCTCTGAGCAGGACACCTAATCCCGAATTGCTCCCCGGGCAGCTTACATAACTGCCTGGGTGTATCTCAGGTGAGATGTGTTAAATGCAGAGCCAATTTCGTCTTTGTATGGGAACATACAATGATGACAACACATAACACATTATTTATTATACAAACCGGTACAAACATCCATACATACATCCATTATCTTTATCTGCTTCTTCCTTTTTGGGTCATGGGGGTCACTGATACTCATATTCAGCAATCACTGTGTGAAAGAGGGAGGACACACTGGACAGGTCTCCAGTCCATCACAGGGACACATAGAGACAAACAACCATTCACACTCTCACTCACACCTAGAGACAATTTAGAGTTATCAATTAGCCTAACATGCGTGTTTTTGGTCTGTAGGAGGAAACCCACGCATGCACGGAAAGAACATGCAAAGTCCACCCAGAAAGGTCCTGGGCCGGGATTTGATCTGGCAACCTTGCTTTTAAAACACAACTAATCCACTGTGCCACCACCCACAAATTCAGGGAAATGAATCTCTCAGACCTGCAGCTAAAACTCTAACTCTTTGTACTCAAACATCCACTCCATGGCCAAATGCATAGAAAAAGAGGTACTTTTAATACTTTAACTCATACATCTTAAAAACTCAGACCTACACTGCCCCAGTGTTGTTGGTTCAACACCTTAAAACAATTTAAATATAATTACAGTCAGTAGTTAAAATATTTTTCTATAAAGAGATATAATAAGTCCACAATATGCACTTCTTTGGACATCTGCAGCAATTAACAATACAAGAAAAAAAAGTGCCTCTTGACTAATTAGTATATATATATATATATATATATATATATATATATATATATATATATATATATATATATATATATATATATGCATAATTTATTTAGAATAAATTGGTATTTAAGGACTTTAATTTTGGGTGATGGCTTCATTAAACTTGCTACTCAGTTCTTTTAAATACTTTATGACAAAAACTGTTTTATCCGTGACGGTTTGCTCCTGTTGTGAGAACAATGTGATAAAGACATGTGAGCAAGCAACCCTGACTGATATCCACTTAGGACGTGTTTTCATTAAGAAAAGCACCTGCTTTTTTATTGTTTAAGAGGGTTTGAAAGTTTAATGGACACACGACCATTGCACAGCTGCCAAATGGACCTGAGAAAAAGCAGATGATGTGCTGGAAGGCAAACAAATGGGAAACATCAGCACAGAGGCCTCAGAAACTGACCCTGTGAAACAAAACAATCCACTTCCTTTTCTTTGGAGAGTGGGAGGAGTTTTTGGCTGCTGATCTGTTTGGATAGACTTCAGCAGAGCTGAGACATGGAGAGAACAGCCCGGGGCAATGCACCACGTGAATGCACACTAGACCTGTTAACAGTGAGTAATTTAATCACAATCAGGTTAGGCAATCAAGGTGAACAACAAAATCACGATAAAACTGTCTCCATTTATTTGTATGGAAAATAGCCAAGTAAAAACAAACAGAAATGTTAAAATTCCACGATTTTTATAGAGCTGACCGAGTTTATGTCTGTTTATTCTAACTATTCTTGCTGTTAATGTGGCACGTCTGCCATGTGAATTTTTAATTCAATGACAGTTTACATCTGAAATGTATTAATCATGTCAGCCCTAGTGCACACATGCCAACATGTGGATTAACACAGCCACTGAACTTGACAAAAACCTTTAACCTTGGTGGCAGGCATTTTAAAAGCCTGTAAATGAACATCTTGACATATGCTGTAATAAAAAAAGACGCCCTACATGAAAGTGTCTCTGATGTATAATATGTCTGTGCTAAATATTTCAGCTACCTGTGGCTGCTGCTGTCGATAAGTACTAATGACTATAGGAGAAAAACTTTAAGAGAGGAAGTTCGGGTGGTTGGCAGACGTTCATCACTCTGATCAAACCTGTTTCTTACAACTGAACTAGAAAAGAAAAAATGCCATTGCTCTTTTGCACTATTTTCTTAAAGTCTGATCTTATAATTTAATCAAAACATGTCATGGAAACCTACTCTTTCGCAAGCAGTTTCCTCTTTTGATGTCACGGATAGTGTATGAACATTAAATAATTGCAGAGACGACAACTCAGTACAAGCTGCAACAAAAGGAGAAACAAAACGTAGCTGAAGCTCACCAGCTGAAATTAGACCAGTTCACCGTGGTTTTTAAACTCTGACTTTAGGAGGTCCCAATGTTTGGAAAAAAAAAAAGAGAGAAGGTTTTAATACCACATTCTAAACAATAATAAATACCAAGTATTTGGTTACCTCCACTATGTTTCTTGGTAATGCACGTTGGTTTTTCCAACAGCCACTCTGTGGAACAACTGGAATAACTTGAGGGACAACACAAAAAGCCCAAGGTTGTGACCTGGCTTCCAAATTTCAGACACTCCAATCCTTTCACACAACTTAACAATTCTAACTATGGTGTACCACAAGGTTCAGTCTTAGGACTCACCCTCTTCACAATCCACATACGTAATGCATGTCAGATCATTCCTGATAGATACTTACATTTCTATGCTGACAACACAGCTGTTTATTGTTGAGCTAAAACAATTGCTAAGGTTTTCCAGCTTTTCCAGTCTGCATTCGACATCAACCAGCCAGATTTGTTCCGTCTCAAACTGGTGCTAAATGCTGATAAAACCAAAGGGATGTTGTTTTCAAACAGGAAGTCAGTACTAACAGTCCTTCCTTCTATCTTATCTACGAATGGTGTTCCTATTGAGTTTGTTGATTCTTATAAATACTTGGGGCTCTTGGTTGATGCACATCTCTTTTAAGCCTTATATCAAAAACAGTAAAAAAATTGAAAGTAAAATTGGGTTTCTTTTTCAGAAATAGATTGTGCCTAACTGAATTCTAGGAAACACCTTGTAACTGCTACTTTCCTTCCCTCCATTGACTATGGTGACATTATTTACACGAATGCTCCTGCAAGCACCTTACAGATGTTGGATGCTGTCTATCATGGTGCGCTAAGATTCATAACTGGTTGTAACTACCATACCCACCACTGCACCCTGTATTCACGGGTTAACTGGTCATCATTAACTTCACACAGACTCTCTCACTGGTACATTTTCATCTTTAAATCACTCCTTGGTCTGCTGCCTTCATACATCTCCTCCTACATGTCTCGACGTGAGTGCAGCTACAGCGTGCGCTCTCAAGACATCATTACCTGCAGTGTCCCCTCAGTGCGGACTGAACTTGGCAAAAGGTCCTTCTCTTACTCTGCTCCTGTAACACCTTGCAAAAAGACCTGAAGCTCTTGATCTTGACCTCCCTAAGGGATTTGAAACAACGGTTAAGTTCAATGCAAAAATCAATGCAGACATGTTCCTGGTTTTAGTATTTTACACCGTTTTATAATGTAACATGTTTTTTTTTATTTTTGTGTTTTATATTACTTCATTTACTTTTCATTTTATATGCTTTTAAATGTTTACTGGTGTGCGTACCTCATCTGTGTTTTTTGTTTTAAACAGGTCTCTCAGTGAGTCCTCGTAACTCAGTGAGACTAACCTGTAAATAAAAGGTTGAATGGATTGAAAACTTCCGAATGCATCAAAATCCACCGGGTTGCATGAAGTACCTATCAGAAATTATACTCGTCAGGACACTCCTGAAATTCCATGTCCTCCATTAATCCCACGTTCCATAAATACAGTCAAGTCAAAGTTAGCTTACCAGCAAGTCTGCGTAAATAAAATGAACAAGTGTGTCACGGGAATCTTTTATTACTCGTAGACTTTTGATGTTTTTTTTCACTTAAAACTAGTCAGTTGATGTATTCAGGGTGGAAATAACTACCTGGTACAAACCAATATATATATAAACAATAGTGAAAGTGAAATTTGCTACAGAATAACAAGCAAAACTAAATGTAAAGCTCTCAGAACTGGGGAAATATGATTCACGCGTAACTTTAAAACTACAGGAAAGTAAAGTATAATTTTCTGCAACAGTTTGAACAACGCCTCGCATTAATGAACACGTTACCTCCATCTCCCAGAGTTTAAAGAGGTTTCCTGGGGCTTAGGGGGCCACCAGAAGTTATGCAACCAGCTTAATACAGAGCAGCCCATGATTCAGACCAATGAGGTGAGCTGCCTTTTAATCCTCATGTGGTTTAATAACAACATTAAGACAGTTAGCTAAGAAAAGGCGTGTTGTTCCTGACATGACAGCTTTAGTTTCCAGAAAACACGTTACAGGAAATGAGTGGGAATGTTTTGCTCACTTTTGTTTTCCAACACTGTCCTTGATGGACTATTGTTACAGATCAGCTCAGAACAAACACTTTTCTTTTCTTCCTTTGGTTCTTTTGCTTTACTACCATACACACGAGAAGTCTCGTTTTTACATCATTTTATACAAATCATAACCAAGAGGAACGGGTTAAAAAACAAATTGAAATTGAAACACTCATTTGTAAACAATCTTGACTGAATAAATATGAAGCAGCACTGACATATTGAAATATTAAATACAACAGGGACATCATTCTACACGAATCGCCCACAGAAACATCACGAGTGCCACTAATTTTGTAGCTGTTTGTTATTTTAAGGTAAATATTTAGGCTCCAACAATGTTCAGTCAGGTCATACGGACAGTTTATTGATTTGTTGAGAGACGTTTCGCTCTCCATCCGAAGGGCTTCATCAGTCTGAGTCCCAAACAAAACAGTTTTCCCCACTAAGCAGTACACTCCTACAGTGGACCAACCAGTTTGCTGGTGATAAGATGGAGAATAGGATGGAGGGCGAAACGTCTCTCAACAACAACAAAAAAGAAACTGTCCAAATGATCCGATTGAACATTGTTGGATGTTTTACCTGGATTATTGAGCATGAACCTTGATATTTAGACTCAACGTATTCCAAGACTTAGCAGCATACATCAGCAAGATACTCCCAGAGGCTGCAGCTGAAGCAGCCAACAACACCAGTTATCTACAGCGCCCATCACTTAAACCCAAAAAATATTTTATCTGATTCAGTCTGACATGCGGCGAAGGTCTGCGCATAACTGGAACGGTCAGATAATCAATGACAGCAGAAACTAATCTTGCTCAGGAATGGATAAAACATTTGTGGACTAAAATAAACCCCCAGACTTTACTGTGTTTATTCACATGAATAAAAGTGATTTTCCAAATGCAGGGGTGGTAGTAACAAATTACAAATACTCACATTACTGTAATTAAATAGATTTGTTGGGTACTTGTACTTTTATGAGTATTTCTTTTTAAGTGTGTAATTTTACTCATACTTAAGTACAATTTAGACCATGTAATCTACTTCGCTACTTTTAAAATCAGACGTCGCTACTGAGTACAGCCGCATATTTGAATGAAAACCATTCATTTGCATCTTTGTAGCCAATAAGGCTCTCAGATCGCAAACGCATTAATTACCTATGACGTAAGCAAAGGACAACTCCGTTGAGTAGAGTCATTTATGGACCGAAGATTTGGAGAAAAAGTCAAAATGGAGACAGAGGACAACACTGTCAACAGAGAAAATGAAAGTAAAGGTTGAGGACGAGTGCCGGGGCCGTACCTGGAGGAATGTTTCATGGACAGAGGGCGAAAAGGAGACAGCGTCCAGATGCAAACTTTGTTTGATCTCTACGGTGACAGCAACTTACAAGACTTCAGCATCTAATCTGAAAAAATTTATTGTGGTATACGAAGTTTTACACATGTATGGTATTGCTTTTTTTATTGTTTGTGTGTGTGGGTTATTAGTTTGCCTAAGTATACAAGGATCTTAGATATTGTCACTAGGCCTGTCACAATAAACAATAAATCAATTAATAGTTAGTGACTCTCTCTTTCTACTGAAGACACTGGATTACAAAAGGCTCAACGCCGGTGCTCTTCACTGACCCTTCCCTTTCTCTTTTCTCTTTAAAATCCATTTTAATGATCCAAAATCGCGTTTTTGGATTGTTAAAAGCAGCTAAGCTGAGAAACTAAGCTACGAGCTAAGCTAACAGGCCGACCTCAGGGAAAAAAAACTCTGTCTTGTCAAAGCTCCAAAATTCACGGTTGAAACCCGTGCCTTTGCGTAAAAAGTTGTTTTTCTCTGCAAAAAAAAAAAGCTGAGAACTTGTTTACTGATTTTTTTATTAAAAGCTTTGTGTGACAAATGCTATGCTAATGAGCTCAAACCACACCGAGCCTCCGCCATTTTGAGAACCGAAAAACAGGAACGAGAGACAGCCCATGTCACGTCAAGGGGCCTCCCTCCCATTTTTCTTAAAGAGACACACTGCTCGCTCCCTCACTAGCCATCCTTTGGTTCAAACTGTCTTATACTGCCATCCGGTGGTCAATAAAGGTACTACACACAAAATTAACCAAAATTTCTTCTTAAATTTGACAATAATTTCAAACAATATAATCATTTATTGCAATAATTTCTGAGATAATTAATCGCCCAGCAAATTTTGTTATCGTGACCGGCCCAATTGTCATTGCCATTGGTTTGCCTAGTACTAAAATAAGACGGAGCTTCTGAGCATCTGAGAAATGTGCTTTGATTGTAGCTATTATATACAGTACATCAAATCGAATGCCTTATATTGACAACACAATAAAACATCAATTGGTTAAAAAGTAATTAATACTCTTGAGTAGTTTTTGAGAAGAGTAGTTTGTACTTTTACTTAAGTATTTTACAAGACCAGTACTTTTACTTGTAATCAAGTACAATTTAAGCAGTGTAACAGCACTTGTACTCGAGTACAATTTCTTAGTACTCTTTCCACCTCTGTCCAAATGTTACAATGTCTTACGTGATGAAAATGTGACCTTTTTGTTTTTGACAATTTGCTGAATATTTCTGTATCAATGTGAAAAATTTAATAACACTCCCCCCCCCCCACCCCCTGCATATATGAAACCAGATGGTTTAGTCTAATAGCAAAAAATCCTCTGTTTATTTTAAGAGAACATTATTATCATGGATTCCCACACACACACACAAAAACGTAAAAGCCGATTTTTAAACGGTTTAGTTAAGTTGAGCCTACTTGTTGGCACCTTGTCTTCAATTAGAGTTAAACAGGTTCTCTGTGTTTAGTCTTTGGTCTACCTTACTGTATGTCTACAAATCGCTGAACAGTTTCGACCCCCCCATCTCTCTGACCTGCTACAACCGTATGTCCCACCACGCTCCCTGAGGTCAGCGGACCAGTTGCTCCTCACAGTTCCAGGAACTCGTCTTAAGTGCAGAGGTGACAGGGCCTTAAGTAGCAGGACCAAGACTTTGGAACGAGTTACCTCTACTTGTCAGACTGGCACTCTCCCTCTCGGTTTTCAAATCCCGTTTAAAAACTCACTACTATTCAGTAGCTTTGAACACCAGAGGATCTGTGTTTTGATCCTGTACGCTCCACACTGGTTTGTCGTCATTATCTGCATCGTTTTTATGTCTATATTTTTGATTTGCTTCATTTTGTATTTTGCTTCGTGTGTTGTTCTGTCTGTACAGCACTTTGGTTGGCCTTGTAGCTGTTTTAAGTGCTCAATAAATAAAATGGTATGGTATGGTACCTTCACCCTGTCTGTAGTGTCATCATACATGAATGAGCCTTTTCTTTTTTTATATATCTTAGCAAACAAAATAAGTACATTCATGTTGTTGATTATTTATGCCTGCTCATTTGGCCCAAAACGGGTTGCTGTGGGTTTCCCAACGCAACTGTTGAGCAGAAGAACGACACACCTAAAACCCGTCAAATCACAACACATACTTGGCATTTTTAAACTACTGTTATGGCCCACACACTGATTCCTTCATGGCTAATTTACAGAACCAGTGTTAAATACACCAATGTAAGGTATTCCTGTAAGGACGTATACTAAAGCTCATACGGTTTGTGGTAACAGGAACTATATACTCAGACGGAGCACAGGGAAAGACTCAAAAACTTTATGAGCAGACAAATGATAAAGACTTACTGATTAGAGGAAGTACTGCAAATTTTCTGAGCCTGGAAACTGCAGCGATTCTAATGGATCCAGCTACTGATTATTTTCATTACTAAACTTATTTCTCCTAATATTCTCCCAATAACCCAAGTACCAAGCCATCAGTGAATCAAATTAACAAACAAAAAGCAAATGATATTCAAAGTTTTAACACCGAGCTCCTTGGTGTCATTAAAGAAAGATTTGTTAGTTCAATTACCAGTTGTTAAAATAAATAAATAAAATAAAATAAACATTTAATACTTGCTGAACAAATTCAACGTGTTTGTAAAAATATACACATGGACAGAAACCAGAACTGATAACCACTAATTTAACAAACAGTTGATTTGAATTGCTTATGTTTATTTAGTATAGTTTAAACTTTTTTGAAATGACAGAATACTGTTACAGCAAGCCAATTCTGGAAGCATATATATATATATATATATATATATATATATATATATATATATATAGATGTGTACTAATCACTTAATCGACTAAAGTTAAGTTTGTGACATGATTGGAGAATCTGCAAGAGAAAATCACAGAATTTACCCTGAAAATAAAAGTTTGAACTCATTTAAATTTCCCAGGAATTGTACATTTGAACATTTGTCGAAAGTCGCTGCACTGACTACATTTATATTGACAGGATATAAAATTAACTTCTTTGACACCTGGTAGTTTTTAAACAGGCGCAACAAGGCGAACATAGAGATAATAACTGACTCATTAAGTAAAACATGAAGTTACCTGTTAGCTGCTTAGCTTAGATGTTGTGACTTTATAAAAAATAATCCCTGCTTGAGTTTTTCCTTTGGCTTCTTCTTCTGTGTGTTTTACACACAAACAGACAAACACCCGCTTCCGACGACCTGCATCGATTACTAGAAACCAGAAGAGCAACGCCGACACCGGCGGAAAGCTAAGCTAGGTTAACAAATACTTCCTGTTTGTTATTTCAAAACAAGAGCGGCCATGTTACATGTTGCAATAAATCCAGTTTGTTTTTTTTCAACGTGTCATTTAAATTGGGTTTGAATTTAAATATTTGTGTCTTAGGTATACAGTATAATAAAATTTAAAATATGCTTTCAGGGGATTTTTTTCTGCCACCCCCACCCCATATATATTTTGTACATTGCGATTATTTAGTTGTTTCAGCGCCATCCTCTGACCATCAATAAATACTTATTTAGCCAACAAGAGAGTCTCACTTTGATTTAAAAATGGTTAAGGATTTTTTTTTTCTCTTTTGTATTTGTGATTATCTACAAATAATATAAGTTGTGAATTTGCAATTCATTGAAGACCATCACGGGCTCAGTTGACTTTTTTGTGTTTAGATAGTCTATGAACTGTTGATAGTTCTGTTAATATTTTTAAGCAATAAAAACGTTGTCGTGAACTGCTACTAAATACTTTTATTTTGAAGGCTGAAGTTGTTGTTTCCGGTATTACTATGTTACATCAAATTAACTTGATTCCGTTACAGCAGTAGGTGCTGGGGTCACAGGTTCCACCTCCAGATGACATCATCCATAACGCAAAAAAACGCTCGTGGGGGTGGGTGTGGACCTCAGCACTGCAGTCCTGTCAAAACAAAACAAAGAACTGTAAGAAACTGTAAGAAATATTTTTCCCTCACCTTCACTCACAGTCAGACTGGTTTAAAATATTTAGAAAAACATCTCAGAAACCTAAAATCAAGAAGCCAAAAATAAATGAATAAGTAAAAATAAAATAAAAACCAGCCCAGGAGTTCTGTCACATTGTTTAATAACTATTCAACCATAATTTATTGTCAGGCTGTAATTGATTTGGCATTTAACAACATCAATGTTGTTAAACCTCAGCAGATACAGAGCAGGTCTTTTGTCCTATTTGCAGCCAGTGAAAGAAGTTCAAAAGAAACTTTAAAATCTGACTCATATCTGACTCATTTGTTCACTGCCAGTTTATATATATAAAAAAAAAAAATTACAAATGTAATCATTTAGTTCAATTATCCTCTTGAGCCCCTGCACCCTAACAATGAAAATATTGTCTAAAAAAGTTAATTCTGGGCCTCTGTTTTTTTTTTGTTTTTGTTTGTTTGTTTAATGTCCAGAGGACCAGACTTAACTTTTTAGATTTTTCTACCTGGATTATTGAGCATGCATCAGGATATGTTGAAGATATTGGTCTAGTCCGGTCAGTGGAACTACAGTGTCTTGCGAAAGTATTCGCCCCCCTTGAACTTTTCAACCTTTTGCCACATTTCAGGCTTCAAACATAAAGATGTAAAATTTTAATTTTTTGTGAAGAATCAACAACAAGTGGGACACAATCGTGAAGTGGAATGAAATTTATTGGAAGTGTCAAACTTTTTTAACAAATAAAAAACTGAAAAGTGGGGTGTGCAATATTATTCGGCCCCCTTGCGTTAATACTTTGTAGCGCCGCCTTTTGCTGCCATTCCAGCTGCAAGTCTCTTGGGGTATGTTTCTATCAGTTTTGCACATGGAGGACTGAAGTTCTTGCCCATTCTTTCTTGCAAAACAGCTCGAGCTCAGTGAGGTTGGATGGAGAGCGTTTGTGAACAGCAGTCTTCAGCTCTTTCCACAGATTCTCGGTTGGATTCAGGTCTGGACTTTGACTTGGCCATTCCAACACCTGGATACGTTTATTCGTGAACCATTCCATTGTAGATTTAGCTTTATGTTTTGGCTCATTGTCTTGTTGGAAGATAAATCTCCATCCCAGTCTCAGGTCTCTTGCAGACTCAAACAGGTTTTATTCCAGAATGGTCCTGTATTTGGCCCCATCCATCTTCCCATCAATTCTGACCATCTTCCCTGTCCCTGCTGACGAAAAACAGGCTCAAACCATGATGCTGCCACCACCATGTTTGACAGTGGGGATGGTGTGTTCAGGGTGATGAGCTGTGTTGCTTTTACGCCAAACATATCGTTTTGCATTGTGGCCAAACAGTTCGATTTTGGTTTCATCTAACCAGAGCACCTTCTTCCACATGTTTGCTGTGTCTCCCAGGTGCTTGTGACAAACTTTAAATTATACTTTATATGGATATCTTTGAGAAATGGCTTTCTTCTTGCCACTCTTCCACAGTGCTCCTTGGGATGTTTAAAGCTTGGGAAATCTTTTTGTATCCAAATCCGACTTTAAACTTCTCCACAACAGTATCTCGGACTTGTCTGGTGTGTTCCTTGGTCTTCATGATGCTCTCTGCGGTTTGAACAGAACCCTGAGACTATCACAGAGCAGGTGCATTTATACAGAGACTTGATTACACACAGGTGGATTCTATTTATCATCATCAGTCATTTGGGACAACATTGGATCATTCATAGATCCTCACTGAACTTCTGCAGTGAGTTTGTTGCACTGAAAGTAAAGGGGGCCGAATAATATTGCACGCCCCACTTTTCAGTTTTTTTATTTGTTAAAAAAGTTTGACACATCCAATAAATTTCATTCCACTTCACGATTGTGTCCCACTTGTTGATTCTTCACAAAAAATTAAAATTTTATATCTTTATGTTTGAAGCCTGAAATGTGGCAAAAGGTTGAAAAGTTCAAGGGGGCCGAATACTTTCGCAAAGCACTGTAGATCAATCAATCAATCAATCAATCAATCAATCAATCAATCAATCATCCATCCATCCATCCATCCATCATCCATCCAGCCATCCATCATCTGTACCTGCTTTGTTACACGTCCGTTTTGAGCCATGGGGGTCACTGGTGCCCATATCCAAACATCGCTGTGCAAGAGGCGGGGGACACCCTGGACAGGTCTCCAGTCCATCACAGGGACACATGGAGACAAACAAGACAAACAACATTCACTCTCTCACTCACACCTAGAGACAATTTAGAGTTACCAATCAGCCTAACATGTTTTCGGGTCTGTAGGACGAAACCGGAGTACTCAGAGAAACCCACGCATGCACGGAGAGAACATGCAAACTCCACCCAGAAAGGTCCCTGACCGGGATTAGATCTTGCAACCTTTAACCTGAGAGGCGGCAGCTCTACCAACTGCACCACCATGCCGCTGGGACTGGATATTAATTTTAGTTTTCAAATAAAGTAAATATATTTCTATTTTTTATATCCTTATTTCTCAAAAATAATGTTTTTTTTTTTTATGTTCATGAGGTTCTACTAATTCTAAACAGCAAGAGGAAATACAAAAAAAGCACACCAAGCAAAAGATTGGTTAAAGCGAGGTTACATTTTTAAATGTCAATAAATGTTCAATTCTTTAGCTGGCACATTTTTGCAGTCAAGACTATTTATCATACATCTCACTGTCGAGAAAATGTTTTTATATGCATGCACCATGCTCTATATTTTAGGATATGAATATAGACACAGTGATTATTAATGATCATAAATGTGTCCGTGATCTTTTCTTTACATTATAATCATTCTGGATGTATCGGTAAGAAGATAGTGGAGAGGTCATCTTTGTCATCATGTTGGAGACTTTTGAATGTTAGAGAATGATCCCCATACTTGAGAAATGTTTAACTCCTTTACCACCTTGTAAATGCATTGATCTTCTGTGATTGCTGACTGTTCTCCAAAGCTGTGAAATAAATATGAAGAAGACCACACCTGATCCTTTGGGAATCTCTTTTTTCCCATGGCACTCACCTTAATGACACACTTGCAAAATCACCAGACAACAAGCAGGGAAATGCAACAAGGAAGTAAAAAAACAAAGAAGTGAGCAAGCAAGACCTTTATAGTTATTCTATAATGTGGACCGAGGAAGTAACATTACTAATAAAATGCAACTAATATAAAGCTAAAAGAGTACCTTGCTTAATTTTTAATTTGATGCAAGTTTTGCTCACAGGATTTAATTGTGTTTACATACGTATTTTTACCTATTATGGGTTCAGATTGCAAACCAAGATCTCATTTTTCTCCAATATTACCTTACAATAGAATAACAGCTGACGGTTCAGCTGACTACATGCACTAATCAATAACGTGCAGTGAGGCCCGTGACAGGTGAGACACTGAATGTGGAATCAGATGCTCACATACAGTATATGACCCCAAATTAGAAGCTTACAAGTACATTTCAATTTAGCCCCCCCAACCTAAAATGACATCTAATTATGCTTTAATCAACTTCATACTCCTCTATTAAAAAAAAACCTCTATTCTCTTACCTTTATTTTTAGATGAATGAGTTTGGAAAAATGAAGAATTTAGAAAAATTCTTTAGTTTTGAGATATGGTCTTGCACTCCCACCCCTCAGCGCAACAGAAGAGTGCAACAGAAGAGCGCAACAGCGACATTTCGTTGTCCCTATGGGGCAGCACTGCCCCCTATTGGTGCGGCATGGCTCTTTCTGCCTCACCCTGTGTATTTTAACCTTGCATTTATGACCGATTAGAACGAAGAAACATGTCACACACATTCATTCAATTTATTAAACTGTAGAACATCAGCATGTGCAGCACATGAAATCAAACGTGTATATTGGCGATATAAATAGAGACGGCAATGGGCATGCGCCAACCGCCTACTTCATATATTGTATATGACACAGCGCCACCAGAGGTGAGTCAGAGTACTACACGGCCAAACCCGCATTGTTTGAACAGGCGTTATGTAAATTCTGCGATTTTGATCTTTGAAATGTTGAAATAATTCAGAAACTAGTTTTATAAAGTGGTCAAATGTATTTTCTATTATTGTTAGTATTTTCCTTGACATGATGACAGATGAGGTGAGGCACTGCCTCACCTGCCTCCCCTGACTGCACGTCACTGGCAATAATGCTCATTTACAACAGAATAAAAAAATTGAAACAGCATAAAAGGCCAACCAACAAACTGACAAAGAACAGTAATAAACACACTGACGAACAAATGGGAAAACAACAATCAGATTTATTACCAAATGGAACACATTAACCTTCTACTGAACGTTTTGGTGGCTCAAAGTCCATTTCAACAGCTAAGAACAGGAACATAAAAATAAACTTCTCTCACTGGTTGCAAGCAAAGTAACCTTTAAAAATATATGGATAATCTAAACATGACACAACAAAAATGGTACAAAAGAGGTACTCGGGCATAGTTTTTCTTGTTTCTGCCTCTCTTACATGAATTAAATTTAGTGCAATGGAAGAGAAAAACTCTCAAATCCCTTTCATTTTATTATTATTTTTTTAATAAGGCAAATACGTGAAGTTGAACAAATTGAACTATAGCGATAAATGGAGGAAAAGTTACCCTCTCTGCTAAGGGTCCAAGAAAAAAAAAACATCCTGTAGTTAAACCATAAAAATCAACTAAAACTTGTACACTGGTCGTTTTGTCCAAAAACAAATTAAAGTTGTCTATGAGAACATTCAGTTAAAAGATAAAACAGACGACTACAGAGCATGTGCAACAGTCTTCAAGGGCCTCAGCTGTCGTCATTTTCATTCATTAATCACTAAAGAAATATTGCAACACAGGCGGAATCGTTGTTCAGGTTCAGTGCCGTAATGATCCAACCTTTCTGTTCGCTCCTCCTCCATGCTCCGTCAGTGACGAGACATATACAGTACAGCTGAAACCAGATGTTTACATACACTGTAAGGTCATTTGTTTCTGATAAGCCAGACTAAACCATTCCTGTTTGGCTCAGTGCTTAATTTGAGCCAGATCCTGCCGGAACAGGATCTCAGAAGTCTCTTATTTTGACAATGTGTGCTCCGGTAACTGTTTGCTTGGATCTGGATCCAGTAACTCTTAGGCTGACTAATAACAAAGTTACGAACAAATATGACTGCCTTAAACAAATAAAACTTACCGATATATTGGATAAGTAAGCTGAAAACAATTACATAAACACTAATTTTAAACACAACAGCCACTTACGAGCACACAATCTGCATCTTCAAGTAGCATTTGCACATATATGCTTTAAAAAAATCTCCGCCCATAAAAGAGTGGTGGGGGTGAGTGGCGCGCTAACCAGGCAGGAGCCTAAACAGAGGAGGCGCTTGGAGCTTTCACATGTGGAGTCAGACAACAACGAGCAGGGACAGAGTTAGGATTAGAACTGTCAAGGGGTGGGGGTGGGTTGGGGGGTAGGATTGTTGACAGAAGTGGCGTGTTTACAAATGTAGGTAAACATATTTGTTTAACAACCTGTTAAAATGCAGGAAATTGCATCTACTTTATTCAAAATTTTATGGGGAAGGACCCCCGGCCCACCTGCTATTTGTATTCTGGTATTGATTGGTTTACAAATTAAGCCCTGGTTTGGCTAAAGGCTGGAATAATGAGATGAGGATTTTTTTTTTTTTTTTTTTTTTAAGTAAAAGGACTTTTAACAATTTGGGAAAGCTCAAATGATGATGTCATATCTTTGGAAGGTTTTAATAGGTTGGCTGACAACATGCACAGTATCTGGAGGCACACTTGTGTTGACATTATTTGAAAAAAATAAAATAAATAAATAAATCTAAAGACATCAACTCTACAACTCTGGTTCATCCTCAGGTACAATCTCCAAACATCTAAAGTTGCCACATTGATCTATTCAAACAAATATATGTGAGAATAAACACCATTTTCCTTTTATTATTTGGGCATTAAATAAATGGAACTCATTTTGGGAATCCCAGCTGATCTAAAACGGGAATGGTTTAGTCTGATTTAATGTCAGACAGTCAGGATAAACAAAGTCTTTTTTTTTTTTTTACAACAGTGTATGTAAACATCTGTTTTTCATTTTCTGTGTATTTTGACAGATTTCCATCCTCATGACCTATTAGCATCTCTTTGGTGTCTTCACATTCTCTGTTGCAATCCAATTAACTACAATAAGTTTGACTTTGAAAATGTTGGGAGGCTTTTTTTTGTTTTGTTTTAGAAATAGGAAGTCACAACATGAACATAG